AAAACTGGATATCTCACTCATTATACATTACTGAATTTTCTTTACCCAGAAGGGTCCTTGCCAAATTCTATCGCTGTCTGGATCACCTTTTACCAAATGTCACCCATGGAACTGATTAACTCTTCATGCTGCTTTCTTATTATTTATGTATTTGAAGTATTTTTAAGCCTCTCCACAGCCAAAAAGGCTCCCTGGGTGGCTTATATACATTTAATTAAACAAGTCTGCAGGTTTACAATCTAAAAAAGACATGACGCATGAAAAAAAGGGACTGGGGGAGGAAAAGAGTGAGGGGGTAATTATTTGGAACGGCCCCACTCACCTTCTGTTCTCCCTCAGCTGAGCCTGCTGGCATCCCTTCACAATCTCAGCCGCAAATTGCAAGAGAAAAGATGAAGGTGTTGTGCTAGCACACACACGTGCACACACACACACACACACACACACACTCCATATATATGCATGAATATCATACTAGACACACATTAGTACAATATTACACTTTACACACAATAATGTGTGGAATGAAAAACAGATGCTTTATGTTCTAATCATAGCTTGGTGGATTATATGCTTCCCATGCAGAAATTTGGGGTTCCATTCCTGGTTGAATAAGCAGAAGAATATTTATTTATTTATTTATTTATTTAAAACATTTCTATGCCGCCGCATTCGCCGAAGCCTCGGGGCGGCTCACAACATAAAATTAAAATATAAAACATTCAAATATACAACAAATTAACAATATAAAATAAGTCACCCTGGCGAGATAAAATAAGCGAATAATATTAACAATTAAAATGACGTTTAAATAAAAAGGTCTTGGCCTGGCGCTGAAAAACAAATAGCGACGGCGCCAGGAGGACCTCTCTGGGGAGCGCATTCCATAGATTGGGCGCCACCACAGAGAAAGCCCTCCTCCAAGTACCTACCCTCCTAATTTCCTTCACGGAGGGTTCCCGGAGAAGGGCCTCTCCCGCTGATCTCAAGGGGCAGAGTTGGAAGGGCCTAGAAGGCCATGCAGTCCAACCTCCTGCTCTTCTTGCACATGTGGCCACCCTTCCGGTTGCAGACCCACATCCTTCCAGCTTAGCACAGGGGACTTTACATGCTGGCTTAACATAAAGCTATGCCGACAGGTTGAAGGAGGGGTTGAAAATAATTCAGATACCAGAGCTAAGAAAAAGCTCTACCTCAGGTCTTTGTGGACCTTAGCAGTCCGAATATAAAGTACTGGGCTTGGCTGATCAATGTTTTGGTTCACTATAAGGCAAGCAAGAAGACAGAGTGTGCTTTTAAGGGAAATGCTTAAATGGTAAATATTATGGAACTCCTTGCGTGATCCTCCCCTGAAAGAAGTCCTCTCACAATTTTTACTCCATTCAGTGAAAAGGAGTTCTTGGACTACAGTATAAACTATTAATGCTGCAAACCTGAATCCTGATTGTGCAATGCCTGACTCTGACCTGTTTTACCCTGTGAACAAGACTGTCAGTGATGAAGGCTCCTTGTCAGATCAGTAGCTCCTGAGATCCTTGCCCACTCAACAGGGGCACAAGTAGCACCTAGTTCTCTTGACCATTGGAGTCATAATGAGAAGAATGGAGTCTAAGTAGCATCAGATACTGTCCAGTCTCATAATAAGATCTGTCCATATTTCCCTCCCC